AATCTCCCCAGACTCCAACAACTTCATTTGTCAGATGGGGTAATAACAAGGAATACTTCTTAGGGTTGTTTTCCAGGAATAAATAAGACTAAATAAGTGAAATGTTTGGAAACTGGCTGGCATGTTATATTCAACAAATGTTGATTGTAACAATTGTAATCTTTTCATTAATGATTCTTATACTCTCATTTTATCTTCTTTCCTTTTCTTTCTTTCTTTTTTTTGCTTTCTTTCTAGAAAGCTCTATACCCAACATGGGGCTTGAACTCACCACCTTAAGATCAGGAGTCACATGGTCTATCCACTGGGCCAGCCAGGTGTACCCACTTACAATCTCATTTGCATACATTATTTTGTTTAATAAATATTTATTGAGTATCTATGATGTATGAGGCATTGTGCTAAGTGCATGAAAATTTCGTAATGATCATAGATTTTAGAAGGGGAGTCAAAGGAAAATAAGTTAACAGTCAAATAAGCAAAATAATTAAAAATTGTGGTTATGGAAGAAATGAAGAAAGGGTTGAGCTGGATCAGCAGTTCTCAGCCAGAGGTAATCCCTACCTCCCCATGCCACCACCACCATTTCCATCCCCTCTGGAGGACATCTGGCAATGTCTAGAGATGTTTGGTAGGGAGGGTACTACTGGCAAGTATTGGTTAGCAGTCAGGAATGCTGCTAAACCATGCACAGGACAGCCCCTGCAACAAAGAATTAGCCAGCCCCAAATGTTAACAGGGTTATGGCTGAGAAACCCTGAGCTAGGTGGTGACAGTGAGGGGTCAGAGGGGTATCTGAACTTAGGTCAGAAGGTCACAGAGACTTCTCTGGGGTGACATTTAGGCCAAATTTTGACTAGGGAAAAAGAGCCAGACTTGCAGCAAGTGGTGTGGGTCCAACCTGGGCACAGAGGACTTGAAAACAACAAATAACAATGAAAAATTCCTTATATTAGTGTGTAGTACACATATGCCCCCACAGAGAGTAAAGGGGGCAATTAGGAGGCCTTTTACATTTTAGCCGTCTTGTTGAATTTTAGAGAATAGCTTTTTTTTTTTTTTTTTTTTTTTAATTTAAAAATGGGGGCCAGGGGCTAGGTGGCTCAGTCCTTAAGTGTCAGCCTTCAGCTCAGGTCATGATCCCAAGGAGCCCCACACTGGGCTCCCTGCTCCACTGGAAGCGCTTCTCTCCCTTTCCCTCTACCGCTGCTGTGTTCCTGCTCTATCTGCTATCTGCTCTCTCTGTGTCAAATAATAAATAAAATCTAAAAACAATAAATAAAATAAATAAAAATGGGGGAGGGGAGAGTATAAAAAGCAGACAGATTGGAAGACAGCCTCTTGTAAAACTATAAGTAGATTTCAGAGACGGAGATCTTAGAGCATGCCCTACCTGTTCAGGAGGCCCTGGTGTATCATCTGTGGTTAGGCTCTGCTCTTCACCATGTTCTACATCCGATGGACCTTCCCCCAAAGAATGACAGAGATCACCTGATTTAAAGCCAGATATCTATGCCCAATACTTGGTTTTTAGTTTTGTTGTAATTGATGTGTTATTTATCTTGACTTTAAGGGGGAAAGAATAACCCACCTTACAGTTTGTGTATTAAATGAGATAATTTAAGGAAGTGTTTCATAAACTGGAAAACACAATATAGATACATGCTGCTGAGAATAAAAGGGGAAAGGCTGTGCTCAACTAATAACCTTTTTGCTTTGTTACCTTGATTCCAAACCCCCTCTAGGTAAAGAAAGATGAGGACTGAACTGGAGAGGGGAAAAGCCTGGGAAAGGAAGTGCAGGCCAGGAGGAAAGTGATTACAAACAGAAGTTGTAGCCCCAGTTACATTATTCATGCAACTAAGAGTGGGGAGAGTAATCCTGATGGGGTGGATAAAATCACCACAAGATGATTGTTGTAGCCCAGGCCCTTGGAAAGACAATGGCCAGCTTCTCCAAAAGCAGCCCAAGACCCTCTGACCTGAGATGTGAAAAGTTGATTATGGAATTCTGGTGCAGTATTTGGAGCCCGGCAGTCTGCATATTTTATAAAAGTATCTGTTCCCCAGAGACTAGAAGCAAAAGGGATCCAGCCACTGTGTGAGTCATCATCCTTGCTGGATGGAAATCATGCTTTATCAATGGCTGTCCAGTAGATGGAGGAAATAAATACATTCTCTGATCACCTGAATATATATATATATATAACTGCACACTGCACACACTTTCCTGGCTTATTTGCCTTTCTGTTTCTTGCTGAGTTTTTGCGTTGGAAGGGTTTGTAGGCTGTGGATTAACTTACCCAACTGTCTTTCTTGGCCCTGAGGCGGCTTCAAAAAGATGACACCAAATGGAACTTTGTGTGCCTAGAGGGAAAAAAATAAATAATGGTGAAAAACGTGTATCAGCGGTCTTCTCCAGCACCAAGCACCTTCTCACTTTTACTCACATAATTTTCCAATTTAACACTCATGTGAATTCAGCAAGTAATATGTAGCAAAAGGGAATCTATAGCATTTCTTTTAGCACTGGAAGGAAACTCAAGTCATTGGATCAGTTTAATCGAGAAGCCCGGCCTGGGACATTAAGGGACTGACAGAGCCAGAACTGAAACTTGTTTTTCCACCTTGAGAAAAGCAAATAAACAAAAAATATCCTAAGCAATTGCGGGTTTTTTTAGTTGTTTTCCTTCCCTGTGTTATGCAGACTCCAGGCACTTTCTTCCCAGAATGCAACAACAATCCAAAGCTCCAAACAAGTTTGAGACCAGCCTGGGGTGGGGGTGGGAGTGGGAGTGGGAGTGGGGGTGGGAGACTCTACTGGAGAGCCATCACACGAGATGATGCCGGTGTTCCTCTTTGGTGCCATCTCGCCAGATTTAATAACAGCTTTGATAGGATTCGCTCGAGCAAAAGGTGAGCATTGGCCGGATCAAGCCGGCCCTCCAGCGAGAGTTTGAAGTTCGACTGTTTTCCTGCTCGCAATTTGAAAGAGGCTTTAATTCTCCCCGCTCCTCCCCCTTCCCCTGTAAAGTTTGTTTTCTAGCTATAAAGTCGCTTCAACTCTTGGTTTCCATCCCGGTTGCCTGAGAATCGCAATAATTAGCCAAGTTCACTCAGACGGAAAAAAAGATACCTTTGTGTACCTAATGAGAGCCACCGCGTGGCCAAGGATAACCACGCAGAAGGAAACATTTTTGTCTCGCGCTTCTGTAAACGGGGAGGGGGAGGGTTAAGCCGACCCGAAGGCGTGTTTTGTGGAGAGGCTTCGAAAACGGCCGAGGCAGCCGAAGCAGCTTTCGAAGTTAGCAAACAAAGCGTCTCCCCAGTAACCGCCCGGTTCCAGACGAAGCTCCTGCCACTCAGACCGCTGAGTCGCCGCGTCGGCCGACCCCTGGCTCCTCCTCCCTGCGTCTCTCCTCCCTCCTCGCTCCTCCCTCCTCCCAGTTCCCCAACGGATACAAGCCACCAATCCCCGCAACAAACAACCCTTCAAATGCAAGAACGCCGCGGCCCTCTAACGGGCGGCCCCCCACCCCTTCCCCGCCCCACATCTGTCCTGCACTCGGGCGCAGCAGCTGATTCATCTCCAGCCAGGCCCGGGGAAGGAACTCTGCTCCAGCAAGTTGCAGGGTAGCTTCCAGGCTGGTGGTTTCCCCTAGGACCATGTTTCCCCCCTTTGCCGTTTTAGATGTGTGTTCTCTTAGGTGCCGAGCAGGCGGCAAACCACAGAAGAAAAAAATCGTAAGGCTGCTGCCTTCTTAGAATGACGCTTTTTTCCTTGTTTATTCATTTTAAGTCCTGTAATTGGTAAAACCACCCAAGCTTTGTAAACTCTGGCCTTAATTCACTCTCGAGGCGGGGGTGTCTTTTTTTGGGAGGGCGAGTGGGTGGGAGGCTGGCTTTAATTTCCAGTGTAATCCTAAAACAGAGGCTCCAAAGTCTAGTTAGTCATCGTTTGGCTGCCTTAGTCCTCGGGTTTAACCTTATTTCCACGGAGCTTTTCCTGCCGGCTTCTCCATCGAGGTTACAAAACAAAAACAGCACAGAGCCGAAACTGGAGGCAGACTCGGGCGCTGACGTCTCTAGTAGGCTTATTTACGTTGTTGTTGGTGGTTTGTTTGCTTTTTTTTTTTTTTTAAGTGATGGAGAAAGCCGTACAGTGGCATGCGACAGTTCGTCTGCCTCAAAACAACAGGACACACACGAGCGAAAACTAGACCCAGCGGAGAGGGCGGGGAGGGGGCAGGCGTTTCTTGAAGTCGGCCAAACAGCATCTGGTTTTTTAAAAGGGTAATCTCATCAAGGAACTCCTGTTGGAGCCCTAACTCGACCAAAATAAACCAACAGGAACATGTGTTTATTTAATGGCTAGTTTCTGTTTGAAATACCCGAGGGGAGAAGGGGTCCTCTAACAGGGCTTAAGCTCTAAAAGTAGACTGTTTACCGAAACAGACGAGCAGCCCCGGTGTGGTCGCCCCTTTTCCTTAAAGGCGGCAGCCTCCTGAGTCCTAGGGTAGAGGTTTCAGGCCGATTTTTTGCTGTGGGGCAGGCGCGCGCCCGGGCAGTCCCCAGGCTGAGACTTTTTAAAGAGCATGTGAGCATGACAAGTGTCTGTCCGCAACGAGTTAGATTTTGAAACTGCCTTGCAATCCAGTCCGGAACTCACAGCTTTAGCCGGGGGTAACAGACATTTGCCTGGGGTGTCGGTGTCTCATTCTCCTCCCCCAACCGCCCCCACCCACCCACCCACCGCCGCCGCCGTTGGAGGAAGAGCCCCGGGAGGAGCAGGGTGCGACGCGCCGCGCCCGCGTGTCAATGGCAGCCGCGCATTCTGGAAGAAGTTGGTTCTTGTCCTGAATACTTTTCCTACGGCGCCCCGCCCCTTGAATCAGAAGCAGCTGTCTTCTCCTGCGGCTAGAGCCGGGAACCGTGGAGTTTGGGGCAGCTGTCAAAAACGAGAGGGGAGCCTTTTCTTCCCTGGGGTAGAGGAGGGGGCAGCCTTTTTCCATCTGTTGCAATTTCCTAACCAAACGCACCCTCGCCAGGCGGAGGAAGAAAGGCCCAAAAGAGAAACCCGGACGCCTGGCTGGTGTCGCCGCCGCCGCTGCCGCAGCAGAGCGAGGGATGCGGGCGGCGTGCGCGCAGCACCGAGGAAGGATCGGGTTTCTGGGCTCAGCCGCCCCCACGAGGGACGGGTGACAGCGGGCAGAGAGGCGCGGAGTGAGGCAGTGCAGCCCGAGCGCTCGGTGCCGTACTTCCCAACTAGAAGGTGCGGGGGAGGGGCGGAGGAGCGGCTGGGCGGGCGGGGGACGGGGCGGGCAGCTGGGGGCGGAGGCAGGACCTCCTGTACCTTCCCTCTTCGCCTCTCTCACTCTGACAGCGCCGAGGTACGCCGAGCAGGATCGGGGAACAAAGGAGAGGAGTAGGGAGGGGAGCGAGTTGCGCGAGGGAGAGCCCTCAGCCGGCTGCCAGAAGATCCCGGCAGGAGTAAACCCAAGTGTCACTTGAATTCCACCCAAGGAGCGGGAGCCTGGGATCCGAGCGACTTGATTAGCAATAACGGCTGGAGCGCGTCCTACAAGTTACGGGAGAGTCGGCCGGGAAGGAGGACAATCGCGTGCCCCCTTTGCCCCCGCTCCTGGCCCCTCGAGACCCCCGCATCGCCTCGCGCTGGAAGGGGAGCTCCAGAATGAAAAGCAAGAAAGGTAAGGCTTGGCGGGCTGTGCCCGCCGTGGGCGCGGGTCCCGGGGAAACGTGCTCGCTGGGCCCCGCCGGGATTGGGGAAAGAGTGACTTAGTGGACTTTTCAGCCCGGGGCGCTCAGGAGCGGCGGCGGTTCTCTTTGTTGAAGCTGCGTCTGAAATGGCAGTTGCTGTTTTCCTTCTAGACACAACACGAGGGGCTGTTGTGGGGAGACGGGCCTCTCCACGCTGCTGGCACGTTGTCAAGAAACACGCTCAGTGCCTTGTTTGTGCGCCTCCCAAGTTTCATTGTCTCAGCCGACACCCCACGCTCCGCGGAGCCGCCGCGTGGCCTCTCGCTGGTTCTCGCGGGTGGAGGTTTGGGCCGGGTCGTGGGGACCCCCCGCCCCGATTCTCCCCGCCAGGACCGCGGCGCCTTTGTCTGAAAGTTGGGCTCCCGGGCCCCCACTCCCTCCCAGTTGGGCCCGGGCACTCTTCGCTGGGGATGGGGTGTTTTCACAATCGAAGGAATGCGACCCTGGCCCCCAAACCGCCCTAGGGTGTCGGTAGCCTTGGAAAGCTGGACTTTTAAAAACTCCCAGTCTCTTAAAGTTTTCCCACGATGAGTTTGAGGCAAGATGAAGAGTAAGGACTGAGGGCGAGCAGCTTAAAGCGGCGTGTGGTCAGAATGAGTCCAAGTGTGACAAGCAGGCTTGGTTGTAAGGGCACAGAGTGAGTCTGTCATTGTTTCCACGAAGCGTTCTGGAAGCGTTACAACTAAAACTTGCCGTCAGTCTGGTTTAAAAACAAAATACACAGAAAGAAAAAAAAAAAAAACCACCACCACGAAAGGTCAAAGAATGTTAACTCCCTTCTGAAGTTAACTTTTGAGTCCCTGACTGGGAGGTACCCCGAACGTTCCGTGGTGAGCCAGAGTTGGCTTTTCTGTTGTGATTTATGTGGAGTGGTTCAAAACAGAAGTTAATCTCTCAGGGAAGCCAGCGCGGGGGCGGCGGGGGCGGGGGGGTTGCTGCTGCGCATGCCCGGGAGCGTCCGGGAGTTTTTGTAACTCCACATTCTTTCAAACTCCGCCGGCGGATACCGTCAAAACCCAATATTGTTAGCGGGGCAGCCTTCAACCCAGGAGAGTTCCTTCGGCCACGTTTTCACCTAGGAGTTCTGTTCCTTTCATTCTGGGCCGATGGCTTCAGAACACGCGGAGCTTCTCAACCCATGCTTTCCCAGAGAGAGTAAAATTAAATGTCAAAACCCGGGGCATTCATAGTAGTTGGTGGTAGGACTCCCAGCGAACCCTCCCCAACGGTCAGTGAGAACGTTGAGGGCTTAGAGGTTCGGATGTTTAACGGGACTCGGTAACAGACGCGCGCGGGGAGCGCCCGGCGTGGCGTCTGGAAGGCTGTGTCACCTCGCCGAGGACTGACGGGTCTAGCTTCTTACTGGAAGGCGTTTTCGGTCTCCTGGTGGAACTGACGGGCATCACTTGGGGGGTTTGTTTATGTAAAACGGTTCTTGGGAGCCTAAAGCAAAGCTAGGTTTCCGCCGGGGGCGGGCTCCCCGCATTGTTCGGGCTCGGGTGGGGAAGGCGAAGAGCTGCCTCGCGGGTCCTCCCCCGCAGCCCCTCGGGTACGCTCGCTCTCCCCGCGGCTCTCCCTCGTCGTCTCCCCCCCCCCCCGCCAGCGCTCCTCGGCCCTCCCCAGAGCCCCCCTCGAGTATGTCCCCCCTTCCCAGCAAAGGAACTAGGCTGGGACCCCGAATATTCAGGGTCAGCGGCCCCGGCCGCACCGGGTAAGGAGGTCCTGCTACCGAGCGCCGACTCATGGAAACAATGAAAGGTGACGTGTTGGAAGGGAAACTTTGCGACTGGTTCACAGCTTGTGCGGGGGAGCCGAGACTGCTGAGATTGCCCAGTGTCTTTCCCTTTTTAGGTTTTCCCGGCAAATCGTATTGACGGTGGGCAGACCCCTCAGAATATTGAGATTCATAGCATCGTTTCTAGTTTCTTGTAATCTGAAACTCCTGAAGTCCTCTCTACTCGTGCAGTTGGAGGGGCGATTTCAGTTGAGGCTGAGAAACTCGCTAGAACAAAAGCTTCCCTGGCTGTCCTCCCTCCCGGGCTCCTCCCTCTGTGGTCCTCCTGCGTTCTGCCTTCCCCGCCCCTTTCCTCAAACTACCTCGGAGAGGGCCGCCTTGCGGGTCGACTCAGCCAGGAACCGGGAAGAAATCTGTCCTGCCTGGCTTTTGTGGGGTTGGACTATTGTCTGTTTTATAAAAGTCTCTGAAAATCTGAAAAGTTTTCTTGAAAACAAAAGCACTTTAAAGGCAGTTGCAGGGCCCGAGATTTGGTAAGCCTGTTTTGTGATAATAGTGTATCGTCTTTAGAAAGCTGAGGATATCAGAAAGTTCCCACCCTGCAAATGGATTTAAAACAAGCAAAGAAGATTGAGTGAGGAAAATCCCCGATGTCTTTTGCTCCTAGTCTCTGACACTTTGGAATTCTTCCTTTAGAACTGCTCTCCAGCTAGGTCCAGCCAAGCTCACCTTGGAGTTTGTGCTTGGGGTGTTAACTACGATTCCCGTGGCATCTCCTGAGATACTCTAATCAGAAAACTTGTTAGGTTAGGCTTCCTTTTTCCTAGTTGTATACTTAAACTCTTCCTTCGATTATTCTAACTTCTAGATCCCTTTTCTAGCCTCTTCCAGGTATTTTTTAAAGTCCCAACTTCACAGCCATGATCTGTGGCTTTCCCCCGCCACCCCCAACCCCAGTTCCTATTAAGAAAAGATTGATTTTTCCCAGCGGTGGGATCCATAGGCCATCTTGTGGCTTTCTAAACATTTCCTTGCATGTGGATGGAGTAAAAAAAGGCTTGTGAGCCCCCCTCCCCCACCACCACATTTTTTTAAGTGTAAGCAGAGCAGGACCTTTGGAAAAAAGTGGTAACCGGGAAAGCTCTGTTACAATAGGAAATGAGTAACGTGGAAAAGTCTTTTTGTTTTTCCAAGCTGAGCCACAATCCGGAGGGAGAGTTTTAATGAAAACAGTCCTGACAGCAGCAAACGTGGTTTGCTGCAGTGAAGTATCAGCTGGTGTGGCCAAGGAACTTGAAGTCTTAACTTCCTGTTACTTCAGCTTTTGTGCCCATACTGGAAATATTTGTTAAGAGGTCCAGAGGCCTGGCATTCATTTATTTAAATGAACTGAGAACAGAGTAGAGTCACACTGCAGTTTAGTATTGCTTAACTGAAACCTGCTTTTTGTGTGTCACTAACCTATTCTGAAAGATCAGGCTTCTTGTCAAACTAAGCAACCAGATCAAAGGGCAGGCTTTGGGGTTTTTTTGTTTGTATGTCTCAAACTCTTTTGTTGTTATCAACCTACAGTTGGGAATTCACCGTTTACTGAGGAAATTTTCACACTTTTCTAGTTTAAAAGGGGGGAAAGGGATTATTGGCTCAAGAAGAATGTCTGGCTTTTCAGACGTTGAAGAGTTTAAACAAATTGCTTTATTCAAATTTGCCTTAGTCATTCAATTACTTGACACATTTTTTTAAAGGTAGATTTCTTTATTTATCAAAGTAAATGTAAAACAGGAACTCATTTCTAATTTCTTAAGGTATTTTATTAGTAGCGCTTTGCCCAAATTTCGATACAGGTTTTAAAAGTTTCTCCAATTTTCTACAGTGAAAGCAGTTTCAGTTTTAAATGTGCCTCTTTTTAAAAACTTTTTTTAAAGCAGTTTAATGAAATCCTCTGCAAAAGGGAACATCAAATACATGGTGGTTAAAACTTAGGATTCTTCTGTGCGGTTTATTGATGGCTGTTAGTTAAGCCTTGAGCTGAAGTGAATTTGCAAGATCATCCTACTCTTTTGTTAGAACTTGCTTTACTTTGTCTTTGGAAGGTTCTTTTCTGTGGACACTCCCTCCAGCACCATCTGCCCCCTGCAGTCCAAAACTAAAAATGTGTCCCCAAGTAAAAGTCAGACTCAATTAACTGAACTAGCTCGTCAACAAATCTTGGAATGCATAGCTTTTTTAGTGTTAAAATGCTTTAAAAGTACGGGTTAAAATTTTTTTTTTTTACAATGGGGACGCCTGGGTGGCTCGGTTGGTTGAGCAGCTGCCTTCGGCTCAGGTCATGATCCCAGCGTCCTGGGATCGAGTCCCGCATCGGGCTCCTTGCTCGGCAGGGAGCCTGCTTCTCCCTCTGCCTCTGCCTGCCACTCTGTCTGCCTGTGCTTGCTCTCTCTCTCTCTCTCTCTCTCTGACAAATAAATAAACAATCTTAAAAAAAAAAAAAATTTACAATGCATCAAATGGTTTATCACGATGAGTATTTGTTTTTATTTTTTTATCAAGGTGAACCACTCTGAATTGCATCAACAAAGTTATGAACATTCTGTTTTCTTTCAATTTTATGTTATTTTAATTTTTTTATATAGAACTACTGGTATTTTGAGCATGCGATTGTTTGTAATTCATTTACATTTTAAGCATTCTAGATTGTCTTCAAAATAGAGAATGTATTTCTTTAGTCATTCAGAGTTGCCAGTTGTCCTTTTGAAAGGGGGGAGGGTCCATAGCATTTGTAATTGAAATTTTTTAAAAGTTCAAAATTATGTTTAAATGTTAAAGGGGCCAAGTCTGAATTTTTGTTGACCCCAGTCTATTATATATGATGTAAATATTCTCTGTGGCTGTGAATTCTTAAAATTTCTGGTAGGATTAAAGTACTTACCGACAAAAGAGCATTTCCTCTAGGGGGTGCATATTCAGTCTTTGTCATGTAATATTTTAAGACTGAAGTCTACTTCTTGGTATATAGTATTCTAGATTCTGATTAAACTGTCAGTTGACATTTATAGAAATTTTAAAAGTTTATTCAGTAGTAGCATCTTTTGAGCTCTTACTCAAGTACCAATAGTAAAAAAATATTTTTGTGTACCAAAACTGAAAACTTCAGTGGCTGTTTGTATTTAATAAAAGGTGACCAGTGCTTTCCATTAAAAGTAGGTGTCTAGTTTTGAATAAATGTAGGTAGCAATGAAAAAGAAATGACCATGGAGTTGGCAGAAAATTTTCAAATAAATTTTACCTTTAGAATACTAACTGGGGTTGGGGACGCTTGGATGGCTCAGTCGGTTAAGTATGAGGATTCTTCATTGCAGCTCAGATCTTGATCTCAGGGTCATGAGTTCAAGCCCCTCTGTGGAGCCTACTTTAAAAAAAAGTATATATGTACACACACGGACACATACTGGGTTAAGTGTTTGATTTTCTCTCCTTATATAAGTGGGAAAAAATGTATGACTCTGCCCTTTTATTTCGAGCTTTCAATGGAAGAAGGAGGCAAAGTACCATTTAAAATGTACATTAGGACCCTTGGATCGTTTTTCCTGAGTTAGCAATGACCTCAAGGAGAACATTGTTAGATACATTCCATCTGCTGTAGCGCCTTTCCTGTTCACATGTGACCCAACTATTCACTTCGGGTGCAGCATTGCCTCCTCTGCTGCACTAGACTTCTTCTGGGCATCACTCAAAAGGAATGTGAGAAGTTAAATTCTACAGGAAAGTGGGTATGAAAGGGCTCGTGACCATTGGTTGAGAATCTCTAACATGCCACCACTGGTCAGGTTACCGTTGAGACTTTGACATGTGCTCTGATATGTCAAGAGAGAAAACACTGGTACTTGCTTGGCTCTCAGGAGTTAAGACAGTGTGGTTGCACACTAATGGCCCTAAGAGATAAGCTGTGCGTTGGTGCTCCCCTGATAAATGTGGTTGACGCCGGCCTTTGTACTTGACCAGGTGTTGTTGTGGCATCGGGCAGTGAGACGGAGGATGATGACAACATGGACATCCCTCTGGACCTCTCCTCCTCTGCTGGTGCAGGCAAGAGAAGGCGAAGGGGCAACCTTCCCAAGGAATCTGTGCAGATTCTCCGCGATTGGCTGTATGAGCACCGATACAATGCCTATCCCTCAGAACAAGAAAAAGCATTACTCTCCCAACAAACACACCTGTCTACACTACAGGTAAGGAAAAAGAACATGAGGTATATGCATGGGGTTGGTTTCTTTTCCTTTCCAAAGACCTTTTATAGCATTCCTGTTTATCAGATCATTAAATGCCTCCCCACTCCAAAAAAAAAAAAAAGAAGAAGAAGAATATTTTTCTATTGTAAACTTTATAGTACTAACTGGTTCTTTAGAGAAGCAGAAACACTTGATGGTCATCTGTCAAATAGCATTTCCTTTAATGCCTAAAAGGGCCTTCTTTTATGCACCAAACATAAAGAGGAGGTTAAATCTTCCTCTATTGCCCAGGAAACTGGTTTGATATTTAAACAAGGGCAGACTTCAGTGAAGTAATTCATGTTGTGTCTGTTGACACAGTCATTTGAACTGGGAAAAATCAGTAACTGGGAGGAGTGGCCCTTTTCATACAGGAAAAGTTTTTCTGTAGTTGATTAACTTAAGTGCTGGGGCAGTGGGTAGTAGGTTAATATGGGGGAGGGTTAAAGGGTGAACTTCCCTCCCTAAACTCATTTTCAGACATTTGAGAATTTCTATCCTTTTCTTCCTCCTGAAAAGGCTTAAGGATGATGAGATTAAAAAGGGAATTTGTATTAGAAGAGAAATAGGTTTATGGCAGGAAATAGCTCTCTTTCTTGGCGGAGCTCAAATACCTTGAAATAACTTTGGAAGTTCCGATAAGCCTTTTCATGCCTTTTTTACTGCAAAGAGAGAGATCAATTAGGCATCCCACAGAAGGTTCTCAGAACGTGTTTGCCGAGTGTTAAAGCATACCTTTATGATTTCAGGTCTGTAACTGGTTCATCAACGCCCGCCGCAGGCTCCTCCCAGACATGCTGAGAAAAGATGGCAAAGATCCAAATCAGTTCACAATTTCCCGCCGTGGGGCCAAGATTTCTGAGGCGAGCTCTGTGGAGTCAGCCATTGGTATCAAAAACTTCCTACCGGCTCTAGAGGAGAGCCCATTTCATTCCTGTACAGCTGGACCAAACCCAGCCCTAGGGAGGCCGCTGTCCCCCAAGCCATCGTCCCCAGGATCAATATTGGCTCGTCCATCTGTGATTTGTCATACCACTGTGACTGCATTGAAAGACGTGCCTTTCTCTCTCTGCCAGCCAGTTGGTGTGGGACAAAACACAGATACACAGCAGATAGCAGCCAGCAGCTTCACAGACACCTCCCTCCTGTACCCAGAGGACACATGTAAATCCGGACCAAGTGCAAATCCACAGAGTGGTCTTTTCAACACTCCCCCCCCTACTCCACCGGACCTCAACCAGGATTTTAGTGGATTTCAGCTTCTCGTGGATGTTGCACTCAAACGGGCTGCAGAGATGGAGCTTCAGGCTAAACTTACAGCTTAACCCATTTTCAAGAAGAAAAGTTTTCACAGGTGTTATTATGATTGCCGGGGTGATGGCAAGAGACAAACTGCATTATTTTATATATTTTTTTATTAATATTTGCACATGGGATTGCTAAAGTGAAGCTTCTGTTACTGAGATGTCTTCAATGGAATACAGTCATTCCAAGAACTATAAACTCAAAGCTACTGTAGAAACAAAGGGTTTTCTTTTTTAAATGTTTCTTGGTAGATTATTCATAATGTGAGATGGTTCCCAAGATCATGTGATTTCTTTTTTTTCCCCTCTCTTTCTCCCTTCCCTTTTTTGTTCTTTTTTTTTTTTTTTTTAATCTCCAGACTGTGCAATACTTAGAGAACCTATAGCATCTTCTCATTCCCATGTGGAACAGGATGCCCACATACTAATTAATAAATTTTCCATTTTTTTTCCAAACAAGTATGAATCTAGTTGATTGATGCCTTTTTTTCATGATGTAATAAAGTATTTTCTTTAAAATTTACTGTAATGCAGAGTATTTTGTTGAGGGAAGCACTTCTTAAAAATGAGTAGGAATATAGCACCCAATGAGCAGGAAGTTGGGGGTAGGGTGGAGTGTGAGTTAGGGGGGTGTCACGAGCTCTTTGAAGAACCGTGGACAACAAGCCAGTACGTATAAACAGGATGTGTGATATTTACTCTTGATAGGAGGCATAAGCAGGCCCTTAAATCTTGACTTAAAACTGCATGACAAGTTGAAATGATTCATTCCATCAGTGTTTAGCTAGCCATTAAAGCCCTTGGTGATCTGTCCTTCACATTTTGAGACAGGGCCAGTGTTGAAAAAAGGTCTCAAAGCTCCTGATTAGGACTTAAGTTTTCAGAAGGAAACAATAACCCACGGGGTCCCTCTGTATTTCCCTCTTTCACGTCACTCTTTAAAATAAACTTTATCAAGTGCTACAGTTAGGCCTCTACATTCAAACACGATGTGAATCTGTACAGAAATCACCTCTTAAAACATCTGAAAACATTTTCTAAAATGATTAAAACAGTGGGGTTCTGTCAGCCATGAGACTGTTTGTGTGTTAGGTTTATTTTCTAAGGTCACAGTGGGTGAAAACTGGTGCCATACCAAATGGAGTTTGTGTCGATAGACAATTACTTACTAGGCCAGGATAGCCAGAAGGGAATTGGTGGTGTTCCTTTCACTTACATGGTTGACCAGATTTGTCACATGCCACAAAACCATTCTTTGTTGTCATGCTTAGTATGAGGTTTCTTTGTTATTACAGTCCTATTCTTTCCAGCCCTGCTCCAGCTAGGAACTGGCTTGAGTTTGAGGTAACATCAGAGCTTTAGTACTGTTTAAAGAATGTAGAGAAATTCAAAGTTAAGTTTGTCTAATTTTGTCAACTTCTTAAGAAAGTCCCTACCATAGAAAGGGCTAAACTCAGACTTGTACATACAAAAGCAACACTGAGAAATCAAGCAAAGAGGTGGAAGTCAAGTGAGGTAAAGGTGTGTGGTAGCCTGTGATGGGTGCAGCTATGAAGGGGACCTCAACCACGGGGGGGGTGGCCCCACCTCAGGGTTGCAGAAGTAGATATAACCAGAAAAAGAAATAAAGTGAAGAAAAGGGAATATCAAATATGAATGAGATAAAGATGACTAAGACTCATTACCTGCTCTAATAGCTAGATCAAAGACTGAAATTCTTTGAGTAGAGATAAGGGACACCAGCAAATCCTGAAAGGCTTCCCTTGTTAAGATGTTTAATTAATCATACTAGAAGGGAGAGAGAAGGCACCATATGAGTGATTTAAAAGAAAAATGTCAAAGGTCAAACGAAACCCAAAAGTTTAAAAAACAAAGAGTCCTCCAAAATTGCCTGTGTTTTATTTGACTTTTTGTCTGCCTTGAGGTTCATAAAGATCCTGGTTGATAATAACTGGTGTGTAATAAATGTAAGCCATTAAAAAACAGGTAAATATAATTGGAATGTGAAATATAAAAGACCATATAACTATCCATATTACAGCTGAATAGAAATGAATTTCGTGCTTAGTATTTACATAATCGCTTTTCATTTACTTTTAGCTATTTGTGTTTCTGTTTAAAGTTCATCCCTCCTAGATAGGATACTGTTGGGTCTTGCTATTTTATCTAGCCTAACAATCTCTGCCTTTTACTTGGTGTATATATTTGATTTATGTTTAATACAATTTTTTGTTAACTTTTAGTTTTAATTCCAATTAACATACAGTGTTATATATATTTAATGTAATTTTTGCTATGTGTCTTTTGAGTTTTTCTCTGTTCCTCTGTCTTTCAGGTTAATTGAATATTTTTAGTGTTTCTTTTTAATTTTTCTATTGGCTTATGAGCTGTACTTTTTTTAATGGTTGTTCTAGGGATTAAAAAATACATCTTAAATTTACAACAATCTATTTAGGCTTATTATTACACGACTTCATACAAAATATGGACCCTTGCAACAGTATGCTTCCTTCCTTTCTTTGTTTTTTGTATATAGTAGAGTTAGATACATAATAAATTAATTACAATGGTATAATTTTTGTTTTAGGCTGGTCCATGTCTCTTTAAAAATTCAGAGAAAAGAGGATATATATAGTCTTTTTTTGTTGTTAACTATTATCACTTCTGGTGCTCTTCATTCCTTCTTGTGAATCCAAATGATATGTTATCATTTCAGCTTAAAGAATTTCCTTGAGAATTGCACAGGCCTGCCAGTGACAAATCATCTGTTTTTGTTCATTGAAAATGTCTTATTTTACTTTCATCTTTGAAGGACAGTTTCACTAAAGATGAATTCTGGGTTGATGGCTTTTGCTTTTTGTTTTTTCCATCACTTTAAAGGCATTTGTTTTCTGGCTTCTATTGTTTGGGATGAGACATCAATGGTCTCATTGTTCTCTTGTATATCATGTCTTTCTCTGGCTCTTTTATCTTTGGATTTTTGTAGTTCCACTATGATGTGCTTAGGTAGGGTTTTCTTTGTATTTGTTCTGTTTGGGGTTGAACTTACTGCATCTGTAAGTTGATGTTTTGTTTTGCTTTTTTACCGAATTTGAGAAAATTTGGCCATTACTTAAATTTTGTTTTCTGCAGTCTTCTCTCTAGAACTTATGTAGATTTATATTAGATCACCTGACATTTCTCCAGGCTCTGTTTTTCTTGAGTCTTGTTTCTATTTATTTTTCAAATCGAATAATTTGTATTAAGTAATTTTTTTTTTAGGATTTTATTTATTTGACAGAGACATACTGCGAGAGACGGAACACAATCAGAGGGAGTGGGAGAGGGAGAAGCAGGCTTCCTGCTTTGCGTGGAGCCTGATGCGGGAATGCGGGACTCGATCTCAGGACCCTGGGATCATGACCTGAGCCAAAGGCAGATGCTGAGCCACCCAGGCGCGCCTGTATTAAATAATTTTTTTAAAAAAGATTTTGTGGGGCGCCTGGGTGGCTCAGTGGGTTAAAGCCTCTGCCTTCGGCTCGGGTCATGATCCCAGGGTCCTGGGATCGCCCTGCATCAGGCTCTCTGCTCAGCAGGGAGCCTGCCTCCACCCACCCCTCCATCCCCCCGTACCTGCCTCTCGGCCTACTTGTGATCTCTCTCGCTGTCAAATAAATAAAATCTTTAAAAAAAATAAAAGATTTTGCTTATTTACTTGAGAGAAAGAGCATAAGCAGGGTGGGGGTCAGAGGAAGAGGGAGAAGGAGACTCTGTTGAGCTGGAAGCCTGACTTGGGGCTTGATCCCAGGACCCTGGGATCATGACCTGAGCCAAAGGCAGACATTTAACTGACTGAACCGCCCAGGTGCCCCTGTATTAAGTCATTTTTAATTCACCAACTCCTGTGCTATCTCTAATACTCTATTGAGCCCATCGAATGAATTTTCACTCAGTTATTATGTTTTGTACATGTATCATTCCCATCTGGTTCTTTTTTAATTATTTCTGTTTCTCTGTTGAGATTTCCCATCAGTTTATTAATTACAAGTATATTTTCTTTTTTTTTAAGATTTTATTATTTGACACAGATTACAAGCTGGCAGAGCGAGAAGAGGGAAGCAGGCCCCCTGCTGAGCAGAGAGCCCAGTGTGGTACTCAATCGCAGGACTCTGGGATCATGACCTGAGCCGAAGGCAGAGGCGTAACCCACTGAGCCACCCAGACACCACACAAGTATATTTTTGTATAAGCTATTTATAATAGTTGTTTTAAAGTATTTGTTAATTTACATGTCAAATCAAGTGTCAGTTTGCACTTCATTTCAGGAAGGGTCACATTATTATTTTGCTTGCCTAGTGTTTTTTTTTCACTGTATGCTGGACATTATAGATAATAATAAGGATTCTGGATTCTGCTACATTCCTCTAAAGAGTGTTTTTTTGTTTCTGTTCTTCGTTCCAGCAGGCAGTTCATTAGGCTAGACTGAAACTTCAACATCTGTCTTCCCTGTGGTAAATAGTAGCTCAAATGTCTGATCAGTTTTTTCAGCTTCCAGCTGTTGCCTTTCAATGGGCGCACTAGGATCTCCCTGCACAAGCAGACCAAGGATTTGGACAGAGTTTAGAATCAGAGTTAGGTTTGCTCCTTCTGCTGCTCCCTCCTTTGCAGGATTCCTCTTCTAACTTTCCATCTACTCTGCCAACTCCAACTCTGTCCTTAGTATCTCAGGTCACTAAGGCTGCAGCTCTCTGCCCCCTCTAGTGAAGATGGAAGAGAGCCCTCAGGCATCAAGCCACAAGTTGGATATTTTATTCCTTGAAGTTCCTTCATTTTAAAGGTAAACAACCCTCCAGTTTCTTCCTGCTGTTGTTCACTCTCCAGGCCTCCAATTAGCTTTTTGTTTAATTTTTTGTTCACATTTTGTTGTTATTATCTGTAGGAAAGTTTGTCTGAAAAGAAATGACTCCGCCATTACTAGAAAGTAGAATTTTACTATAGTTACTTTTAAATGCTAAATCATGAGTTCTTAGATTTATCTGCAAATTGGAATCACCTGGAAGGCTTAAAAAACCAAAAACAGGAGCTCCTGGGAGGCACAATTGGTTTAGTGTCTTCCTTCGGCTTAGATCATGATCTCCGGGTCCTGGGATCGAGTTCCACATCGGGTTCTCTGCTCAGTGGGGAATCTGCTTATCCATCTCACTCTTCCACTTTGCTCTCCCCCTTCTCCTCTCTCACCCTCTCTCTCAAAAATAAATAAAACTTTAAAAAAACAAAAAACAGGGAACCTAAGTGGCTCAGATGATTAAGGTCCTGGGATCGAATCCCAAATCCCACATTGGGCTCCCTGGGAGCCTGCTTCTTCCTCTGACTCTGCCTCTCTCTCTGTCTCTCATGAATAAATAAATAAAATAAAATAAAGTAAAATAAAATAAAATAAAAACCTGTGGCTTGGCTTATTAGCTAGTTTCTCTACATAAGGAGAACACTAGGAGTTCTCTTTCCATACCTTAAAAAAATTGTTCTTTCGCTTT